AGTAGTGTTGACCTCATTAACCTGCTGAAAGTATCTCAGAGACCCCCACAGGGGTCAGCTGACCACTGAGACCTGGTCCATCGCACTGCCTGTGGAAATGTTCCCGGCCGTAGGTTTTACTAGAGTGGTGGACAAGTAAGGACCATGCTTGTTTTGAGACTATCTTGGGGAGAAGGTGTGTCTGTTTTGTCACAATGTAATCTACAGAACTCTATTTCCATTTATCTTGCAGTATTTTCACAACTGCTAACGTATCATTTCTTTAAGGAGCAAACTGCTTGTATTTTTAAGTGAACAATTTATGGGCACTTGCTATTATGTTGAGGAAGAATGGCTTACAAGTTGAGTTGATTTTTCATGTAATCGCAACACTCTCTCAGCCATGTTGACATGCATTGGTTCGGTCAACAAATACTCTTTGAAATCACCTGTAAGGACAAAGTACTGTGTAAAGCAAGGATGACCAAGTGCTGGCTTCTGGACAAGATCTAAGGCCTCGAAAGTTGAGTGTGACACCTAGCATAAATATATCTGCCTCCTTGGAACTTCAGAGAGGCCATCAGAAGGCAGACCTCAAGGTTTGGAATCAAGTCTACATCTAAGCCCTACTGGAACACCAACGAAACTGGGCCATTCAGGCACTCTGTCATGTGGGCAAATGTCTCATCTTTGCCAGTTACAGGATTGGCATGTAAGTGTGACAATCCCTAGCCGCCTCATCTGTTTGTTACTTCCTCAGAACATGTGAAATAGGAAGATTTTTTTGAAAAATGTTTATGCCCTAATGATAAGTGGACTCTGCCTTTGGATTGAGAGACTTTATTCTCTTAGATGGATGAGTTATTTTCTAGATGGTCTAAATTACCAGTTTTATTCTTTTCAGGCCTAGCTTCTGCCATTCTTTCAGTTCTGGTTAGACATTCTCACCACCCACAATCTCTCTCTTCAAGTACTAGTCTCACTTCCTGCACCGTAGCCGCCCACTTTCCACTCTTAGTCTGGCAGCTTTGAAAGCATTTGACTCCACTTCTTTCCCTGAGCCAAAATTCTTCCACCAGCCTTGAGGGCTTGGTGAGGGGAGGGCAACACAGGCCAATGCTAGTTCAAGCCAGACACATTTTGAAGTCTGTAGACACAAGCTCCGCTTTTGGTACTAGTATGGCTCGCAGAGGTGGGATAGTTATAGAGGTACGAGCATCCATCTTGATGACAGAGAAGAAAGCCTAACTGTATGATCCTGGCCCCTTGACTTGCTGTGATGAAAGCCAGATTTACCTCTGGATTTTTCAATTGTGTGAATCAATAAATTCCATTTACTTTAGCTATCTTGAAATGGAATTCCCTATCATCCTCAAACAAAGGAGTCCTCACTGAGATATTTCTCTACTCCTAAGCACTTGGTACAAAACCATATAGAAAACAACTCAATTTTCAAATATTCTACACTTTAAAATCTACATGGTTCTGCTAGTTTAGAATTTTCTCTATCTTCTCCATAGCACTCTAAAGATGCCGCAAATTAAGCTCCTTGATATCTAATACTGGTGAAGTCTATTTTTACTCTTGCCTCAATAGATTTTTAGCTATTTACAAGCAGGAATCGCTTCTTCATCATTTTTAGGTCTGTACCTAGCACATTTGGCATGTAAGAAGTCCAAAAAGTGATAGATAAATTAAATTTTCAGAATGAAAGAGAAATATAACAATGGTCTTCCATCTCTAGAGATTTCTGGTCCAGCCTCACAGCCATTTCCTTGACCTATACAATGAAGGTTCCCTACCTTGGTTCCTTGGCTGGTTTCCAGATCATTTGCCTTCAGATACATCCCTGGACTTTTACACTTACCTATTCTCTATAGCAAAGAGGATGATGAAGTCACGTATTTCTGTGTTGTCTGCAGTTCTAGGAATAGGTACCACCAGTTTAAGAGCCTCCCTCCTCTGCCTCAAGCAGGGTTTCAGATAATAGCTAAATCTTTCCAAAAACACCCGGGTCCTGCTAGGATCAGGCTTAGTTTTATTTAAATTTGTTATGTGTCCTTGGCCCCCCAGTTCCAGAATTTCCTTCCCCTACAAAAAAGAGGAGTGTCCTGCTCTGGCTAATCTTTTGGTTGTCTCTCTCCTCTGCTCAGCTTTTCAGCATTTTTCTTAACGTACATCATGTAATTCCAACTATTTACATCATCTATGAGAAATTCTAGTGGTTTCTGTCTTCCTGTAATTGATACCTTGCCATTTCTGTCTTAACACAATCACACTTAATTATGTGTTTCTGTCTGAGGCCTTCAGAGGCTCCCTCTGCTTCCAGCTCCTTCAGTCTAGGATCACCTCCATGGAGGTAGTTATCTCCAGAAGCTCTTGTTAAAATACAAAACCTTTGTGTGATAGTTCTTGCTAAACCGAACCTTCCATAGATAATTTAAGGCTTGGTCATGATTCATCTGATCTTACGGAGATAAATCCCCAGTTTCTAGAACTGTCACAGCTAAAATAAATTGACCACTCTTTCCAACCAGAAGAGCTTGTACTGAAAACAATGCACTGAAAATAAGGGCATTTAATGGACCCACCTCCTGCTCCTGAGTGACTTACTCTGGTGGGAGCAATGAAGAGAAGAAATGGTGAGGGTCTTCTCACAGGTAGGCTTCTCAGTCCAGGACAGTGTGATTGTTGTAATTCCTCTCCAGAGAAATAAATGTGGGTTTCTAGCCACACCAGAGGAATATCCAATTAATTCAACCCAATAAAAGTGCTTTATCTTTACCAACACTATTTTTCTGTGCACCCATCATGCTGCGTGGTGTTAGGGTACAGGTGAGCATCTAGGCAAAATTGTGAACTAGTTCATCTTGGTTATCCACTCAGATTATTGACTCTGCCGTATCATGTTAATTATACTATAGTATTTAATCCCTCCCCCAAAACCTGTTGTGCAAAAAAACAGTTCAGCAAATGTTTTAAAATGTAGTCTTGCTCTTCCCCTTCATTTTCTCTTTCCTTCTCATCTGTTCTTGAACAGTTTGGTCCAAAATTCATTAGGTAGTGGAAATAAATTAATAAAGTGGGGGTTTATTGAGGAATAGCCAAGGGGGCGCCTTGTGGTTACAAAGCAGCCCAGTAGAGGACATCCGAGTCCCTGCTGAAAAGGGGGCATCTGTGCAGCGTGGGGGTGGGAGATGAGAAGTGGTGTTGGAATATTGGCTACACACAGAAAAATGGGCCAAACAAGTAAACATACTTAGGACAATGGGAAGCAAGTTTCTCACTGTTTGAAATGTGGGTTACAAATAGAGAAAATATCATGAATCCTGTAGTATTGGACTGAAACTGGAGATAGGAATATAAAAGCAAGTTTTAAAAAATAGACACATAGACATTTATACTGTATATACACATACTTGTGTGTGTGTGTGTGTGTGTGTGTGTGTGTACACATACATATACATTTGTGATCTCTGTTCCTCAGTTTTATTGTGGTTATGTAGGAAAATGTATTTTTTCTGGCATGTAGGAAATAAATATATACTAAAGTATTTGGGATGGTGAGGAACCAGGATGGCAAATTTACTCTAAAACAATTCAGAGAATTAAAATGATTTTGTTGTACTGTTTGCAATGTTTCTGAGTTTGAGATTATTTTCTTTAAAAGAACTATAGTAATGAAATTGAATTCTGGTGTTTCATATACATGGCCCTGATATAGTTGAAAGTTTTCTCACTTTTTATTATGGTTGAATCAAATCTAAATTATAATACAAAATGTTTTAACAGACAAAAATCCAACATATGCTGCGTAAAACAAAACAGATCTAGTATTTACAACACTGACCTTTTTAAAGGAAAAAATATAGCAATTTTTTTCAGCTTTAATTGAGTTTATTGGTACATTTTAGGGATACAGTACAGTTACATTCATTGTTCGGTTCTTGTACCTCTACATGACAAGTCTTGGTTCTCATTTTTTCCCCTTGTCCCTGCCCTCCCTTCACCCCCTCCTTCCCTCCCCATCTACAAACACTTTATTTCCATCTTTTCATTATCTCACATTTTTTTCTTTTCCCTTTTCACCCTTCCCCTACCCATCCCACCTTCCCTACACCTTTAGCTCCTTTCTTCCCATTTCTAAATGTCAGTAATCTTATTAGGATCTTCTGTATTACTGCAGATTATTTACACCAGAGAAACTATTCAGTATTTACACACGTGTGCCTTATTTATTTCACTTAGGAGTGTATCTTCAATATGTATCCATTTTCCTATGAATGAATCTAAAACATACTTCAACCTCTTGCCTGTAAGAGACATATAAATAAGCAGACAATCTTCAAGGCAATCAGTGCTGTGTAGACCTTCAGCCTACTAAGGTGTAATCTGTACCACAGAATTGATGCAATACTGCAACAGAAACTAGAAGTTCTAATGCAGTAACTTGCACACAGAGCATTTGAAATCCCATTCAACACCCTTCAAATCCAGAAAGTTACAGGATCGAGAAAATAGAATTCTTTTCTTTTTCTTACTAGGATACCCTGAAAAGTGTCTTTCTAAACTAAAGAAATGCCTTCCCATTCAATGCTTTGTTTTAAAATCTTAAAGACTTCAAGTCATACAAATTAGGTTTAGTAAATATTCCTTTAAGAAGAAAAAGTCAAGAAATAATGTATTTTACTTGTGAGATGAACTTATACTGCATTTAATCTTGAGAAGAGAGGTAATTACCAAAGATAGAAAATACATTTGTTAAATATTCAATTCACCAAACATTTGCTGCATGTTAATCTTAGTCAAGGTGTCAGATCTAATCTTCAGAGGCTGATAAGTATTGTGACATGTATTGACAGTTATTGTATTAGAGAAAATATTACAGGATAATTTCCATTTTTGAATATACATTCAAAGGAAAAAAGAATCAAAATCCTGGAAGCCCAAGTAAACTTCCCTTGGAAGATGACAGGTGTCTGACATGTGTTCAAGTCTTAAATATGGTTGTTAGGTTAATATTCAGTGTCACCCCGTCACAGAAAGGATAAAGGAACACTGTCCTATCCTCCACCAAAAGCAAACAAAAATAAGAAATAGGTTAAAATTCATATCAAGTACCTTCGTAATGAAAGTTCTTGCAAGACAAAGGGATGAGTATAAAAGGGGAGAATGGGCTTTGCTACAGAAATGAGTTGAAGAGTTTATGGGTCGATGTATATTTATATGAGACTCACTGTATATATTTTCTTCACTCATTGACAGAAAAATGTCAAAACATAAGGCAAAAGTAGGCAACCCTGTCATCATGCTCATGCGTGGCTCTACCTGCTTCTGCTGTCTAAATCTGTTAGTTTCAAACCACATTAATGCCACCAATTAGCAAAAACTGCATCTTGTCAATTACCAGCCAGTTCATCATTAACACTACTGAATAATGTGAGACATGGTACAATTCATTACATGCAAATAGCTATTCATATCCTGAGGAATCCTTCACCGAAACTGTACAGATTATCTTTGATCTGTAGAATAGACACACCGAGTAGCTATATCCCATCCCAACCCCAATTCTCATATTATACATGTTATTCAAAGTATCAGAAGCCAAGTCTATAATTTCAGCACTCTAAGAGTCTGAAAGATTCCAAGTTTGAGCTCAGCCTGCGCAACTTAGTGACACAATGAGACCAGCTCAAACAAAAACTAAAAAAAAAAGACTGAAGATGTAGCTCAGTGTAAAGGCTGTGGGTTCAGTCCTCAGTACGGAAATATCTACTTTTGATGAACAGTAACAATATCAAAATATTAAGAATTGCTTGTTTAGCAAAAAGCACAATTCTATCATTCTGGAAATGAATTTTAAATTTTCATCCAACATCACTGGAAATATAACATAGCCTCTTGTAAGGCACAATTTTTAGGAGATTCTATGATCTGTGAGGCCAGCCATATTTTCATGAAGATTGAAGCAGATGTTTTTCATGTATTTTGATACACAAAATACAACACTTGGTGCTTGAGTATCTACAAGTGCAAATGTGGGGCAGATGAGTTTAGTTTAATTAAAGAGATGTGGTTTTCTTCCTGGTGCTGAAGGAGATGTAAAATGATGCCCATTAATGAGAACTCCAGAGAAGTACTGCTCCCAGGGAGTTCTGTGGTTTGTCTCCTTGCTCTCAGTCAGGGCAATCCCTTGGTGACAGCCCTTAATGGAATGAGGCTCTCACTTTGCGGCCCTTCAAAGGCTGAGGTGGACGATGGTTGCTCAGCAGAAAAGCTGCTGCTTCTCCCTCGGATGTACACAGGAGGCTGCGGAATTTGGCCAGCTGTTGAAAAAAAGAGCAGAAATAGTTTTGGAATGGAAAGTCACACCAATGCCAATGAATCACATAGAAAAATTAAGAAACTGATAGATTTTCCTTTATCAGGAACTAAAAATATTGCAATAGAAATGGTCTAAGCTATGCCTTTTATATCATAAAGAACTCTTCTGCCAATTCTCCTCTCCATACAAATACTTACTGTTCCAGAATTAAATATATATATAAGTATTCTGTGTTCAAAAAGCAAAGTCACAAGAGGAGACAACATTTAGAACGTGGCCTCAAGAGCACATATCTAGAAATCAGAGAATGGATTCACATGCATACGTGCAGCACATACACATTCACATACCGGATGTGTTTTATTTAAAAATGGGTGCAAGCACACATGCTGTGTTAAGCCTTATTCTTCCACTCAATATGTTGTAGGCATTTTTGCATGTCAATAAGCATAAATTTACATGACTATTTTTGATTGCTGAAAGGCTCTGTATAAATATGTTGCTCTATTTGGTATTTGTTTTGTTTTTTTGTGTTGATGAGGACAAATTAGTTAATTACTAAAGATGACAGCCTCCATCTTCTAAACTGTTGTCATCTCAAAGTCAAGCAAATCTAGACGAAGACACATCAGTTAGGTTTCCATCACTATCATTTACCTGAGGACCAAGATATCTCTTGTACAGTATTAACCAGAATAGGAAGTAATGGGGGCCAAGCCTGGTGGCACACGCCCGTAATCCCAGAACTTGGGAGGCTGAGGCAGGAGGACTGCTGTGAGTTTGAGGCCAGCCTAAGCATCATAGTGAGTTCAAGGCCAGCCTCAACTGCATAGTGAGACCTTGTCTCAAAAAACAGAAGGGAGGAGGAGGAATGAGCTTCTTCAAAATAAATGGCAATCATTTATAACTGCCCTATAAAGATAGAATTATTTATCATAAATAAGCAATGCGGTCTTTTCACAAATGATATTTTGTAATACCTTTTCAGACTCCAGACATGGAAAGGATCATACAATGGTTACAGCTATTACTCATGTTTCATTATACCATAGCTAAAACCAGCTGAAACTTAAGGAATCTGGTGAAGTCCAGTAGCAGAGGTTAATAAAATCTAATTTCTGGGAGGACATCTATCCTTCTACAGACTATGATAATGTAAGTCGCTGTGGAGGGGCCACTCCGGGTGGCTGTGCAGGAATGCTGAGCTGTACATTGGGGTGCTGGTTTATGGATCTCATCCACCACAACTTGTGTCCCTAGTTGATACCACAGAAGACCAGACTACAGTTTTATTTTACACACACACACACACACACATACACAGACACACACATAGGCCATGCACACACGCATGCACTTTCATTCCTCTGGACATTGATCATGGCTCTCTACTTTTGTACCACCTTAGCATCATCAATTTGGAACTGAATCTCACTCCAGATCATTTTCGAACCAGCTTGTTCATTTGGGTGAGCGTCTCTAAACCTGTCCTGATCATTCACCAAACCTTTTCCCTTTAAGACTCTGCCAATTACCTGACCCAGCTGGGTAGGCCCGATGCTGCCAACAGCTCCACAAGTCTGCTTCTTGCAGTGCCCATGTCCTCCCTGACTCGCCCCTGGCAGTCATATCTCCTCTCACAGGCACAGGCTGCTTCAGGCATAAAATCTACCCCTCTGTCACTCAGGCCAGCTCAGCACCCACAGGTGCCTGGAAGGAGTGCCCCAAGCTCAGACTTGAGGTTGACATACGTGGGACCAGTTTTGCTGGTCTCCTTACCTCTAACACTGAAATTCTAATTTCCTTGTGGAGCCATCCAGCAAGATGAAACATTTTTCCAACGGTTCTGTAAATAATTTTTTGCTATGCTCAAGATCTACCATCTTTAATAGCATTCTGCTGACTGCATAGATTGAATAATAACAAAAACAAGCTCTCTGACAGAACATAGTGCTCTGGGCACCACACTAAGTATATTACCTTCTAATTATGTCACTTAATCCCCAAAATAACCCCATTGGTGGTGTTCTATTAGCTCATCTGACACACAAAGATCTTAAGAGATAGCTGTGAAGTTTCAGTGAATAAGTTGGCTGGCAAATAAGCCAGGAGCTAACTGCACAAGCAAATTTCATCACTATTTTCCTCATTTCCCCCAGCTTCTTTCAGTTGTAGGACAGTAAACACACACACAAATACAGAGCAGCATAATAAACCACCACAAATGCATCCCTGAGCTTCACCTTCAACACACGCCCAACTTTTCCACCCACATTCCTACCCATTCTCACTGCCTCCTTTTCCTGCCCAATCCAGATTACTTGGAATCAAACTCTGAGCATCATTCATTGTAGCACAAACATTGCAAAAATGTAGCTTTAAAATATATAACATTTTAACACTCCAGGCACCCTAGATAAATCTGTCAGCATGGCTTCTGAACCTTACAACTCACCTTTCTAGATCTACCTGTCACTTCCGCATGCAGGCCCCACTTGGAGCCAGTTTTGTGCCCATGTTTATTACGGCATGATCCATAATGGAGATATGAATGCAGTCCAGGCGCCCACACAGATGAATGGATGAAGCATATGTGGTACATATGTACAATGGAGCATCACCCAGACATAAAAAGAACAAAATTAGGTCATTTGCAGGAAAATGGATGGAACTGAAGATCATGTTGGCCCTCAAAAAGATACCGTGTTTTATTTTCCCTAATTTATGGAATCTAAAAAAAGACATTTAAGTAGAAGGAAGACTATTAGACAAGAGGAAGGGAGTGAACAAAAGAAGGCGAAAGGAAGGTAACGGGCATGGGTATGGTCAAAATACATTATATGCATGTACAAAAATGTCACAATGACACCCAGTGTTCTGTAATATTAATGTGGACTAATACATTTCTTTACAAGGGGAATAGAATTAAAGCGAAGTACTTGATTTTCATCAGTTGAGTAAGTCAATTCAGATGACTTAGAATAATCCAAAGGGGCCTGGCAAGAAAAGCTAGGCTTTAAAAGAAAATGACAAGCAGGGCATGGTGGTGCATGCCTGTAATCCCAGCACTTGGGAGGTTGAGGTAGGAGGATCGCTGCAAATTCAAGGCTGGCCTGGGGTACAGAGTGAGTTCAGGGCCAGCCTAAACTACACTCCGAGGCTCTGTCTCAAAAAGAAAAGAAAAAGACAGACCTATTATTAAAAGCATTATAAAATACTCCGTCTGCTTGTTGGTGTGGAAGTTAAATTCTGAGGGAGAAAAATGGAACTGAATCAAGAAAAAGAAAATTTAAAAATCTAATTTCCCTTTTAGGTCAAACAGTTACTTAGCAAGAAATAGCAATAGAAAATTCCAGAGAAAAAAATCTGACACCATCTTATAAGGATTTATTCTTCACATCTGGTGACATTCAGTGACGAAACTGGATAATGAATAAAAATATTTCTCAATGGCCTTAAACAAGGGCTGCCAAAAACTGAGATTAAACATTATCTTTTATAAAGTAATTCTTTAAATCAGTGATACAAGATTTTCCTTTTAATTTATTGAAAGAGCTAATTTTACTAATTTGCATGATTTTAAAGTAAACTTCTTATTTTAGAACAATTTTAGATGTACAGAATTACTGCAGATATCACACATATTTGCCAGGTCTCTCACATTCAGCTTCCCCTACTATTCACATCCTACATTAGAATAGTATATTTTCCATAACTAATGAACCAATATTAATATGCTATCTTTATCAGAACTTTTATTCAATTTTTTGTGTTTTTACCAAATATCTTCTTCTGTTTCACAGTCCCACGGCAGGAAACATTACATTTAATAATCACATCTCCTTCGGCATTTCTTGATTGTGACGCTTTCTTAGACTTATTTTGCTTTTGACAAACAATGACAGTTTTGAGGAATCCTGATTAGGTATTTTATAGAATGTTCCTTGAGTGGGCTTTGTCTGATGTTTCTCTCATTTTCTCTTAGACTGGGTTTGGATTTTTAAAATATTCTTTGGCTTTATTTTTAACTCTCAAAACCACCATAATATTATAATAATTCAAATTATTATTAAATAACTTTCTCAGTCTAGTTAAAAATTAAAATGTCTTAAAGCTTCCTGCTATAGTATATTTAGGTTAATATTTCAAAGTGAATTACCCATTCCACCAGTGCTCTAAAATGAAGTTTTGTGTTATATACTTTACTGCATAAAAAGCACATCAATAATATTCATTCAAAGAGCCTTAAATAACATATAGTAATGCATTCACAGCTAGGTAGTTATAATTCCTAAACTTGCAAGGAGTTATATTTAATAAAGTTTATTCTTTTTTAAAAATTACATAATACATTCTGAAATAGGTTGGAAGAAAAATTCAACAACAAAAACAAAAAAAGTTATTTCCTAAATGGCTTTGAGGAATAAAGACACCCTTAGAATAGGAGGAAAACATGATCCCCTCATTACTACTTTGATGTAATTAACATTTATTACTAAGCTCTTTAAATTTAATACAGGAAGCTAAAAGTAAAAAGTAAAAGTTTAGCTTGTGAAGAAAGGAAAACAAGCTCTATTCCTAAACCACTGAAGCTGTTGTGGGTCATTTTTCTCATGATACAGTGATGGGGGGAAAAAACAAAACAGGAGTTTTATGTGAGTAAAGCTCTAGATTCAATAGAGACTTTCATAGAATGTTTTAATAAGTACACACCAATCTGAAATCCATCTGTAACCCTAAAGGCAAGGTCAATGAAAAAAAATGCCCAACAGAAAATCAATGTGTTCACCCCAAGGAGAAATGTTGCCTGAAATGGTCTTGGTAAAGGTGAACCAGTTTTGGTATGATTAGGTTGGGGTGGTGGCACATTCACGAGCAGGAGGGTGTACTTTATTAGTTGCAAAAATTATTAAACTATGTTACTGTTAAGACAAAGCAGCACTTAATTCAAGAACAAAAAGCCCATACATGAAATGCACTAAGGATCACAGCCAACAGAACATACAGGCCAGTCGCACAATTCAGAGCTTCAAGTAGAGTTCTGGGTGGTAAAGACACCTCTCAATCTGGCAGACTGCTTGGCCTACTATGGAGGTCAGTAAGCGATCAACAAAAGAAAATGAAGGGCTGGGATGTAGCTCAGTGATCAAGTTCTTGACTAGCATGCACAAGGCGGGGTTTGATACTTAGCACTGTAAAAAATTATTAAAGAAAAAAAAATTGAGTAAATGTCTTCAGAGGATGGGCACAGGTGGCCACCCCCACAGACTCATACCAAATGCTTAAAAGCACCTCAGGTCAGCCCTACAAAAATTCTGCCAACCAAAGCCAAAAACAACTTTGAAAGCAACATGACATTTACTCTCTTAAAATTTTTAAACATACATTATGACATCTTCTTAAACTTAACGGGCACAGACATTTCTGAATGTACTGCACCTATTACTGTTCTCAAAGTTCACCTCAAAATCGGTGGAAGAGGCAGTCTAGAGACTGACCTCAGAAAAGAGAATATCACCTTCTATGCGTGGCCTCTCCTGATTTTCCAGCCGCTTATATTTCAAGCCAAACAAAAGAAAACAAAAGCAAATGGTTAGGGTATTCAAAATGGTGTTTCACTCCCTTGGTTGTCTTTATGTATTTTACATTTCTAGGAAGTGAGAAAGAAATCATCTAACCAAGCAGAGATAATAGGTCAAAAATCAGAGAAGGTTAAACAAGAAAGCACAGAAAATAATCTAATCCAACTACCTAACTGACTAATGAAGGGAAAATGGCAGAAATTGCACAAGATTTTAAAAAATGATTCGAGAGAGCCAGTTGGGGTAACACACACCTGTAATCTCAGCCTGAACTACAAAGCCAGACCAACTACAAAACAAAAAAAGATTTGAAAGCTGGGAGTGTAGCTCAGCTCTTGCCTAGCATGTGTGAGGCCTTAGGTTCAATCCCTCGCAACACACACACACACACACACACACACACACACACACTTTTGTTCAGTTTCCCCTGAGTGAATCAAAATCAACCAGGAAGAAGAGACATACCTGCTGAGAGCTGATATTTATAGGCTGTTTTAAAACAATCCATGTGACACTCTCAAGAAGAGGTGGAACTGTCAGAGAACCAGGGTATGTCCAGTATTCCCAGGATGGGGGAAGCAGAGATAATGGGTCAAAATTTGTGAATCGGGTTTGTCTCCCCTGAAAAAAACAAAGAAAATTCCCATAAATTACAATGGGATAGCATTACACAGAAAGAAAACGTACATCCACTGAAATACAATGGAATTATACAGTATCTTCCTTTAGTGTATTAAGAATATCTACCTTCATCTAAAAAGGTACCATATCAAGGCTGGGCGTGGTGGCACACACCTGTAAGCCCAGCACTTGGGAGGCTGAGGCAGGAGAATCACTGTGAGTTCGAGACCAGCCTGAACTACATAGTGAGTTCCAGGTCAGTCTCAACTACATAGTGAGACCCTGTCTCAAAAAACAAAACAAAACAAAACAAAACAAAAAACAAACAAACAAACAAAAAAAACCCCAAAATAAATAAATAATAAAAAAGTACCATACCATGTGGATTTATTTAAGATTTGTTTTTACATAGGTGATCCTTAAAATGTGTTATAATTAAAGGCTTATTCTGCAAAACTGCAATACCAGAAACTAACTTTGCATAAATAGATTAGTGACTATCTTAGATAATGCAAAACCCTTCATAATTTTTAACAGATAAATGATAAATTACTAAGAAGTTGCATTTTTGGTCACGTATGTTGCACTTGTTTCAAAATAGCAGCATGTGCTACATCTAAGGTTTAAGTCTTTAAAGGAAGACAAAAACTTCAGGAATAAAGAAGATGCTAGTCATTAGCAAATAATATTTTATATTACCTTTTCTTTAATAGAATCCAAAATGTCAGTAATCTTTTGCAGCTGGGGATTGTGTTCACCAGTCTAAAGACATAAAATTTTAAAAGAAATAGTTATGTTGGCAAATCAAGTCTATAAAATTAATAACAATTTCCATTTCAATCAGTATTTTAAAATTATTTTCTAAAAACCTAATCCAGGACAGTAGAATGATTGTTCAGGAATAAAGATTCTCTTCTACCTAATAGCCTTATCTTGCCAGAAGAATTTGAACAAGATAATATTACAAGATTCCTGTACTGAACTTTCAGTTTAGCTCCAAAACTGATGGTAACAACTTAAAAATTAGTTAAGCTTTATGATTGTTCAAGGTATAAGTAAACTTGAGAGAAACCTTCCTTAGGAAACTAACAAAATACCTGCAATATTAAGCAAGCAGTGACATTCAAACCCTGGATTCCAATTGATTATGATAGTAACAGAAATTTTATGGTATCCAAACAATAGATGAAAAAATCTCTTACTTGCAGCTTAAAATGATTTGGGGTCCCATATCAAAGGGATAAGCTCTCATGTGCAAATGCATCATAAATATAAAAATATGAATTTTTATATATCTTTTCATTATCAGGGGTGTTGTAAATGTACCTGAAGTTTCTATACTTTTCATGATTAAAGTATATTCTCTGGCCCCATTTGGACCCTGCTGCCACCAACCAGCCTTGGTGGCCAAGGATAAGGATCTTCTGCTCTTCATGAAATGCCCTGCCTCTGCCCCATGCCTCACCCTGAGCCCCAGTTCCACAAATTGCAACCTCACACACAGAGAATGTGGCTTGGCAAAACTGCACACCCTGCAAGAATGTGGGAGCAGTGGGAGGTGAGAGGCCCAACCTGTCCTCAGGCATGATGACAACACTTGTCTGTCCAGATGTGAATACTAGACAAAGGGAAATAAAACAAAAATGTTTTTCTTATTTTGTCAGTATGTCTGAGCCAACACGCCATTGTGGTCAAACAAGAGATTCAAGAATCGTGAGCTTGAACTTTTCTCCGGACTCTGTCTCTAAATATTGAAATCAGGGATAAGAATGAGCTTAGAATAAACATTTTCTTCTTGGGATCTGTTGTTATTTCTGCTGCTGTTCTTCTTATTGTGGATGACGTTGTTGCTAGTCACAAAAAAATTATCCATCAATGGATAATTAGAAGAATCATAAGACAATGTTCCTAAACTAGTATTTTTAATATTCGCTTTAAAATGAAAATACTAATCTAAAACTAGTTTACTATTAAACCAGTTGAATGTATATGCCATGACTGAATCTAACAAGCCTTATCATTTAAAATGAGGTCAATGAATTCTCACCTGTAAAAATATTCCCAAGACAGCTAGTCCATCTGGCTCGTGAGCTGCCTCTACAAAGCCGGGGTATTTGTCTGAATTCCAGTGCACTACATGGAGCTGAAAGGGAGGTACAGAACATAGTTCAAACATCTTGTAAAGATCCCAAAAACCTAAATGCAAACAAAATGTTGAAGTACATGCTCTGATGCTGTATACTCATATGTATAATGTGTTTCTCATGAAATTCCTGGAAAGAATCCTATTTACTTTTATTCAAGAAAGATAAAGGTCGAGCAGTGACAGATCATGGTCGCATAGCCAGTCAGCGGGGCACCACTTTAAAGACTATTTACCATGCCCTGAGCATGCTAGCAAAGTCCAGCCTCTGTGCTTTCCACTGCTGAGATTGCAACCTGACATCAGACCCCAGATGCTAGCAGACTCTCCAGAGGAAGCTCAAGCTCCACAGATGGATAGAGAAGTAAGCAAGTAGAGAAGTCAAGGCCAGGTTTTCTGGGACAAGTTTGAGCAAGGACTGTGATTTCTCCTGAAAATGTACAGGGAATTTTGTTTTGTTTTGGTTTTTTGGTACCTGAGATCGAACTCGGGTCCTTGTGCTTGCAAGGCAGGCGGCGGAACCGCTGAGCTAAATCCCCCGCCCTACAGGGAGATGTTTACTGCTGTAGCTTAACACTTCTCATGGCTTGAAAATGCAAATTCTCCTTACAAAAAACTATATTAAGAAATACTCATGTTTTCTTATTAGATCATTTTAATGACAAATGATAACTATGTACATTCGTGGGGCACAATGTGATGTCTGGATGAAGGTATACAACGTAGAAAAATGAAGCCAAGCTAACTGACATATCCACCATTTCACTTACTTATTTTTTCAATGCATTTACTGCCTTCTGTAGATATGTTCAGACTGTTTGCTAAGAGCAAGTTGTAATAGCGAAAAAGACGCTTTGGGTCCAGAAACCAGTGGTGTCTGACGATGACGACAGAGGCAGCTGATGATACTGGTGGGCAAAAGAGGAACCTGGAACTCTAGCAAACAGACTTCCTTATTCTACAACCTACTCTTGTGCAAGTGGCCTCATGCGAGTTTCAAAAGAGAGCTAAACGTTCTGCCATGTAAGCAATACAGCATCACAAACATGTAGACTGCAGAGAACCAATAAAGCAGAAAACCACTTTGGAGATTCTTCGGTCTTGGTTCAGAGAAAAAAAATCTAGAGAGAAGCCAAAGGGCAGGATGACACACCCAAAAGATTAGCTCTGGTCATAAATGCCGAAGGCCAGGCCATGCTGTCCAAGGACCTGATATGAGATACTACCTTCAGATAAGAAATCCTGATGAATTGTTTTGGCACTTCAGGAAGGGAACAGTTATACAGGCCTCCATGCCAAAATTGCCCCTCTAGCTGTGAGAAAATTTTGAATATTCAAATAAATATTGTATCACCCCTTTTAAAATAAAACTTTGTATGTTATCGGTAATTAATAGAAAGGGATTCTGGACAGGTGAGAATTATCAGAAGCAGTCAACAATGAAACCATAAAATGCTGCACAATCAAGTTGGTGTGAGATAGCTGGGGAAGGAAACAAGCCTGAAAATACTGGAGGATGAAACGGATCCATTCGGCTCATGTGAGACAGGTGACAGTCCGCTGTCACGGAAGGGCTGATAAGGGCACTGGAGTTGTTTAAAATGGCTCCACACCAACACTCAGCTCACTTAGTAGGAAATGATATCAAAGGGCCCCGATAACACCGGATTAGAAAATGTGTAAGGAGAGAGAGCATTCTACCCACTGCATGTCACCATCCTTCTGCTGGCTAAAATCAGCAACTATTTGAAATATGATGGCAGCATATTTCAAAGAGCAAAACAAATATTTTTTTTTAATCTCAAAAGGGCCAGAGATTTAGCTCAGTGGTCCCACCGCCTTCCTCGCAAGCACTAAGACCCAAGTTTGATCCCCAGTACCAAAAACAACAACAACAACAAACAAAAAAACAACAACAGCAACAGAAAGTCTTCCTCTCTCCCTTGCTTAAATGGCAGAAATACCTTCAAAGAAGAATTCAGTGTTTATATTTTAATTAAAACTCAAACAATCAGCAAAGGCAGATTTCCTGGCTAACAATGACAGCAGCAATTGTTTTTGTTTTGTTTTATTTTGTTTGTTTGTTTGTTTGTTTGTTTTGGTACAGGGGAATGAACTCGGGACCTTGCGCTTGAGAGGCAGGCAGCAGAACCACTGACCTAAATCCCCGGCCCAGCAGCAATGATTTTGAGCTGAGAGACAAAAAGGTATTGTAGCCACTGCAAAGATAGAAATAAGATTCTTCTCTATTGGAAAATAATTTCTAAATGATAGTATTATTCAACTTTATTGTTTATAACTGCATATTAGTGACATAAAAAATACACCACCGAATGCTATGCCAAAAATTTGCCATGACTATAGAAATGATATGTTTCACTATTAACTACATATTTAATATCCTTTTTACATGTCATTGTGTTAGCCTTCTTTTTGACCTAGGATAAACAACTTATAAAGAGAATAGGCTTATTTGGTTCATGTTTTTTGAGCTTCCAGTCCTTGGTTGCTTGGTCCTTCTGATTTTGGATCTGTGGTGACGGAACACATCACAGAAGGAACATGTGATGGAGTGAAACTGCCCACCCACCACATCACCGGGCAGCAGAAAAGAGGAAGAGAAAGGGGCCAGTGTCCCTCTATCCTGTTCAAGGGCAGACCCCAAAGACCTCAGGACCTCCCACAAGGCCCCACCTCTCCAATAACACCTCACTGGGGACCGAGCACTCCCTTCATGGGTCTTGGCTGACATTCAAACCCCCAAAAAGAGCAATTATAGATAAACTATAGATAAAGTTCCAAACTTTGGGCTTTATGTGGTCTATTAGCCTAGTTTACGTAGACGCACAACTCTTGGGATAACAAATTTTATCCTTTAGACCATTTTGATCTCTCTTTGTAATGTCACAAATCATTAAGTCCTAAATTAAATTTTTATGTGATGCAGCTTTAAATGATTTTTTTCTTCCCTTCATTTCCCCTCCTTCCTTTTCTCCTCCTTTTCTCTTCTTCTTGGTCTGTTTGTTTTATAAGAGGACATAATTTGAAGACAGTTACAAATTTAAGTAATACAGGGTGCCGGGACAAACTAATGTCTTGGGACCCTTTCTAGAACTGCAGCCCAAGGGACTCTTTTGAAGCTGAAACCAAATGCACAAGACTCCCAATTGCCACGATCTCCAGCCCTGACCTATGCTTTAAACCTGGCTGTGTATCCAATGGTTCATTTTGACATAAGCCTAGAATGCCGAACAGGCATCACAAACCTAACACGTCCAAAACAGACACCTAATTCTTCTCTGCAACCTGCTGCTCCCTGGATTCACCCAATCTCAATAAATGGCCCTAATCATCCTCCAGGTGGCTCAAGTCAAGTCCTTGGGAACAAATGTTTTTGGTCTCCTCTCTTTTCTTCCTTCTATACTGACATCCTTTTCATGGGCAGGTCCTGTTCACTTGACTTTCACAAATATAATCATCCGTCCAGCTCCCTTCGTCTCCACCACTCCACTGTCCAAATCACTGCCACTACTCACTTGAGCTGCTTTCATAACCTTCTGGTTTTCTCTCTGCTTCAACATCTGCCCCACAGCAACCTCTTCTCCATGTGACAGCTGGTAATATTTTGCCCACATCAGAAAGTTCCATTGTCTTCTCCCCACGGCATTAATAAACTCCAAACTGCTTACCATGCCCAACAACACCTGATGTGATGTGGCCTCTGCTGGCCTCTCCAGGACACAGTCCATAGCTTTGTCTCTCTCATTAGTTTCAATCCTATAGGCCAATGCTTTTCTCTTTTTGAAGACCCAACTTCATTCCTGTCTTACAGCATGTGTCCTCGCTGTTCCCACTTCCTGGAAAGCTCTCTCTAGATTTCCTCATAGAGCTTCCTTGTTGTCTTTCAATCTCAATCTATATATTATTTCCAAAAGGCTTTCTACTCTACCAGAACACATGGTATTATTTCTGTCAAAGAATTTACCATGTATCACATATTTGTATATGTGCCATTTCTTTGTTTGTTGTTTACCTCTGCCACCCACCGGCTGTGATTTCTGCTGTCTCTATCCACAGTTCCTACCTCCAACCCAGAACATGGACTCCTCCCTTCCTCACCCTCAAACCCAATCAACAAACAAATCCCACTAGAGCTGCCACTTCCAGTATTCCAGCCTTTTCCCGGCACTATCTGTATCTGTAACTTATCCTAAAGCCTCTTCAGGGTTCCCTTTAGCCACTCTTGCTTCAATCCAAGATATAGCTAGAGTTTGAATGATGTATTTTTGAAATTTACAGATGATCAATTCCCAATTCAAAGCCTTTCAGTGGCTTGCCATTGCATTTAGAATGATATTAATGACCCTTTCAATGGCTTAAGGCAACGAACTCAGGTCCATCTCACCCTCTTGCCTTCACTCTCCATGTTCTGGCCACATAGGCCACTGCGTTCTTCAAATATTCAATATTCCTTCATCCTCAGTCCTCAAAATGGATCCTCTGCAGGACCACTGCTGTTTCTTGCCCTTGCCTGGTTCACTCCTGTCCATGCTTCAGGTTTCAGATTGAAAGCCCTGTTCCATGGAGAAGCACTGTATGACCCAGGTCTGGGTTAGGCTGCATGCTTATGAGATTTGTGGCATCCTTACTTCTTTCCAGCACTGCCTTCAGGATAAGTACAAAAGACTATACAAAGATGAGGGACACAGCCGGGTTTCCATTAATTCTTAGAGTGAAAGAAGGAATGAATGTATGAGCCACTGAAATAATAAGTTGCCTTACAGACATCATCACAGTATGAAATTCCAGTCAAAGTTTTATCACAAATCAGAAAATTGTTCCTGATCTGCAGTTTAGGGCTTTGAGCATCTCGGAAAATTTCAGGATGTGAGGTCCTTTTCAGAAAACTACTTGTCAACTGGCAGTAAATCTCCCTAATAGTATGCTTTCAAGTTTATGAAAATACAAAGTATAACCATAAAGCTTGGGATCAATCTTCCTTCATTGCTAAAGAAAATGAGAGACCAGTGATCCAAAGCAGTCAGCTCTTAATCTCTGCAGACCTTCCAAAATGTAGAACATTTAAATTTAGAATGCAAACGTTTAGGAAGCAAACATGAAAACTGTTCAATAGATGACATAACTGAAACACCATACAGGTTCAGGAGTCTCACTTTCTATGTTCTTGGCATCTTCTAGCCACCACCATAGAACAACTGTGTATATCCATTTCATCCTCCACCCTGAAGACAGAGCAGATCCCACACGCTAAGGTATACAAGAGGGATAGCTTCAAAGGGCAGGTGTACATACATGGTAATGGAAAAAGAAACTGGAAAAAAGCTCTGTTTGCTGGATTCTGCTGAACAGCATGGTGCATGAGAAAATGAAAGTCTGTCCTCACCTGGGAACACTGCTCTGTCTTGCCTAGATGCCTCAAAAGACAAACTCATTTCACCTGAATAATTTCGATTGAGTCATGCAAAAACTGACTTTCATCTCACGATAAGCTGAATATTAGCAATATTTAATCAGATTAAAATTTGAGGCATATTATGCTTTGTCCTTTCACCAGAGGGTTAGAAAAAGTAGAGCATTACTGTAAATGAATATAATACCAAAAATAGAATAAGTTACCAGTTGAAACGAAACAAGTCAATGAAAGCTTTATTTTATGTTATGCTTTACCAGTGATCTGAATAATTAACAGAGATTCCATTTTATATGTATAAATGTAAAGGTCCTGGAGTTTAGCAAAGTTTTCCTCAGTAGAACTTTGCCATTTAGTATCATTTTTTTAATATGGGCTTTTTAGACTTTTGTCTAGATCAAATACATACATAGTCCGATCTAAAACAAGTATTTATTTACCTCCCTTCTCACTGGCCTTTCAGAGATAAAATGGATAAAAGCAGAATCTGTAATTTGCTGTCAGACAGACCTAGGTCTAAATCCATTTCATTGCTTCCTACCTGGGTAGATTACTTAATTGTTCCAAGTCTCCAGTTTACTCATTCCTAAAATGGGAACATACAAGTGGCAACTCTCGGACTTGCTTTAAGGCTCAGCAGGGCCATATTTGAAGCCCTCATATCAATAACTATGATACTGAATGAATACAACTCTTCCAGATACTGAAATACTTAACTGGCTCAGAATCTACTTGGGGTCAGGAAAGCTATCTTCTGTGTCCCTTAAATCTCACCACTTAAGAAAACCCCGAGTCGCCGGGCATAGTGTTGCACGCCTGTTATCCCAGCACTAGGGAGTCTGAGGCAGGAGGATCGCTGTGAGTTCGAGACCAGCCTGGGCTACATAGCAAGTTCCAGGTCAGTCTCAACTACATAGTGAGACCCTGTCTCAAAAACAAAACAAAACAAGAAAACCCCGAGTCACCAAGAAGCATCTGGTGGCTTACCTCCGCAGCATACCTCACTCCGTCCACCATGTGCTCAGAGCCGTGGTCATCAGATGACCCCCAGTGAAGGTGGAACTGTCGTAACCTGTAGCTTCCAGTGAGAGGACCCCCACATAGAACTAAACATCAACACGTTTTTAATGGTTAGTGAGAAAAAAATTAGACATCCTGCCATACCCTACCACATTCCCAGTATTACTCAACCTGTTCGTGTCCTCCAGAGAATTTTTTACAAATGTGATATCTAACTTGCTGACAGTAGTACAATTTTAAATATAAGAGAAGTAGATCCAAAACACTTCTAGAGTTTAGAGGGTCCATGATGCAGATTTTTATCTGCATTTACTCTGGAAAATTACTAGTAGAAGAGACTGGGAATTCTGGATCCAAATTCCTCTGAATTTCTCTGTTTTATTGAGGGCAAGACAGCCTCTCTGAAAAAGGAAAAACCATGCCAAGAGGATCTTGGTAGAGCAGGTCACTGCTTCATAGCTAGGGCACAGGTATCAGTAGAAGGCCAGAGCTTAATCAGGTATGGTTCCAGCACTCTGGGAGGCTGAAGCAGAAGGATCACAAGTTCAACATCAGCCTGAGAAAGGTAGTGACTTAGTGAGATCTTCTCTTACTGGGGATATAGTTCAGTGCAAAGGCCCTGAGTTCAATTACTACTACCACCCCCAAAACAGACTGGCGCTCCCATTTTCCACCAACTGCATGATCTTGGACAAACTCTAACTTCCAAGTTTCAGCTTCCATGTCTACAAACTGGAACTAGTGATGGTATTCTCTCTAACACTGTAATGAAAATGAAGAAAAATTAAACTATTATATATGGTCTCAACATTTGTCAAGAATCATCCACCTCACATAAGAATTTGGATCCAGATATCCTTATACATAAAAGTGGCTATTTCCAAAGCATTCTGAAAAATAAAAAGAGAGAGCCACTTAGATCAGTTATAGGACTTACTCTTAAGCTATTCTGTTAAAACAGAATAATTTTATTATATCTTCTCCCACCAGGCGGTGCTCATGAGGGCAGAGCTGGGTCCCCTACTATGTCCACCAGTTAGCACAGTAACTACTAGAGAAGATGAACAAATGTGTTCAGTTTCAATGTGATTATCAGATAAGTTAATTTAAAAGGCACATTTCCCTGACACCCATAATCTGTGTACATTACACAGTCTGTATTGATTGATGATGGAATGAAATTCCAAAGGAAAACAAATCAACGGCTTATCATTTTTTTCCTCGCTATTGTGTAATAAAACCTGAGCTGAATGATAAAGTTGTTCCTTCTTGGACAAAAAGCAGATTAGAAAGCTTGAATAATCTATGCAGAGTTGACTTTGGAAGAAGATGGAAACAAGCTGGCTCCAGAGAAAGAAAGAGATATGAAGAACACAATGATAAGAACAATGGGGGATCTCTGGAAAGCTGCTCGGAGCGCAGGCCTTAAAGTCACGTTAGCACATATGTCCTGCGTAGCTAAGCAACAGATTACCTCACATGTTGCATATGTAGACTCCACTTTTAAGGGCTTCAAATAAAATGTACCCTTTGGGATCATAATCATGATTAAAAGTAGAGTCAACCATTTGCTTGGAGCAGTGCTTTTTCAAAGAAGCGTGGTGGGGAAAACTGAGTTAATATATCAAAGTTTAACATGGACTTTGAGATGGCCTATAACAAAACAACTAAGCTACAGTACAAAGTTAATAATGGCAAGAAAAATTACTTTTAATGAACATGATTTCATGTTTTCAAATGTCAAATTAGGCAATCTACTTCCCAACCTAGTTAGTATTATTGTCTTCATTTTATGCTTAAAAAGAAGTAATCATTTCTCCAAAGTCACACTTGGCATATATAATCCATTTATTCTTTCATTTACAATATTTTTAAAAGGTTATTCAAAATGATTATTTTGTATAAGACTTCTACAGAGAGTAAGAAAGCAGAGTGAAATGCCACAAAAATCCAGACACAGCTATTATCGACAAGGAGCCAGTAGCTCAGTGGAAAGACAGAGAAGCCTACCTGGCAGTTATAAGACAAGGAAAGTCCTAAGACAGGACGAGCTCAGGATGCCTTGGGAACCACAGAAGGGGTGGCACAACCTGTCAGGCGAGGTTCTGGGATATGTGACATCCTAGATCCAGAAATACCAGTAGCTGAGCATGAACTGCCTTGTCTTTCCTCATAGGATCATGATTTCCCTCATCAAATTATTCGTACACAGTATTCAGTAAAGAATTTGCTGTATCTGCCTAAAGAATGTCATATCCACATGTCCCTTTTTACAGGACTGTTCAAGTTCTGAAGGGTGGTTATCTTTTGGTTAACCATGAGATGGGCCCTTGCCAAGACAAGCAAACCCTTGAAGAACTAGGAGAAAGATTTCACTGCAGTCTGTTGATGGGCGTATATAGTAGTTACTTCTGGTCACGAACAGAGAGACAGAGTTTGTGGAAATGGAAAGTGCATCTGGGAAAGGGGGAAGATGGGAGGAGGGGAGGGGAAGGTAAAGTTAAGAAGATTAAGATGTGACGCACATATGTACGAATACTCCAGAAAGAACAAACAGTATTTATTATGGATCACAAACAAAACATACACTGATAACAATTTGTTCTAAACAGGAATGACTTCTTTACAAAATGAAGACTGTTCTGTTCAAATTAGTTTGCTACAAAAAGTATCTCTGTGCTTTTTGTAGTTTACCAACACAAAAGAAAAATCAGCAACAATTTACGTTGACTATGATGGTTTTTCTTTTTGATTGATTTAATCCCTAAAATCATAATGAAACAATATCTTGCTCCATCCTAAGAAAAAAGAATGACCATCATGACCTATATTTATATAACTTCTGTCTCAGAGGAGTACAAAGTGCATACTCTATGAACATTTTCAAATAATCCTGGTAATTTCATTGTGATTCAAATAAGAATGATGTCTTCATGTAAACAAAAGTCACACACTAGTGATCAAAAACTAAATGTCAAATCTGGAAACACTTGCAAAATTATTTCACTGATTAGCCCAAAGTAGAGTGAAAATCAAAGGAAGAAAGCTAAAAATGGAGGGGGTGGGAGGAGAAAGAGAGAAATCACAGATCACAGATCAAGTTAGACTAAGATTTTTTTTTTTCCACCAGAAATGCCTACAATTTTAAAGAAAAGATTTAAAGTTTTAGATGAAGGACATTTCTTACCCTAAAACTAGAAGTGAGTAGTGTCATATTTTTAATGTTTGAGATACTACACATAGTATCAAACGATAGTTGTGAGTGGCATAAATTTTATATTTAGAAGCTTTTGACTACTTTTACAAAGTACCCATGACATCAACTACATCTAAAGACCCAGAGGAAATATAATTCAATATATGTTAAAGGACAGGTTCCTACTTTTTTCCCGAAAAAGTTGAAAATACTATGTGTTAATTTCTCCTTGTGGATTTTTTTATAATGTTTTAAAAATGGATCACTCTTTATGAATTTGACAAATACCAGGAAAAATTTATGTAGGTTATAATTTTAGCTGACAATAGTTTTACATAAATGTAGAATATTATGAGCTTAAGGAATATACTAAAACTTCCCTCCAGTGATGGATTTTAAAAATTTAACTACATTTTTTCATGCATAGAGCAATATCCTAATATCAGATAAAAATAAATCATTTGTGAGAAGCCTTAAAAAAATCTTCCAAACTATGATTCTGTATAATCTTTTTTCTCATCTTATTTCCAAACATGATATCTTGGGCAGTATCTATACCTGGGCAGTAAGTATGCTCAAAGAAACAGTAAATGTTTGTTTTAAGAAAATATTGTTGTCTTCTTCAAATCAGTTAGGAAATTAACAAATGGGCTACTGTGACTCCTCACAGTGGCCCAATCTGTGTCTCTTATTTTTACTTTTGTCTTTTCCTCTCTTTGTTCAGCCCAAGTTCACTCTACAGAGCTAGTTCTTCCCTTCACCCCTCACTTTTCAAAAAAACTTTTGGCACCATTAAAAAAAATTAACAAATGAACTAAAGTTTTATTTGATGGGTTCATTATCTATTTACATTAATTTTTCACCCTATCCCATGGAAGAAAAATCAAACAACTTTTATTACAGGTCTAACAAATTAATAAGGATAGATGTTTCAAATATTCCTTTTTTAAAAAATTAAGCATGTCTTCTTCCTTCTTAAATGTCCATTGTTAGGAGAATGTTGTTTTTGATACAGGGATAGCTGATATAATTTATTTTTATTTTAAAAAGTGTTAGATCTGCATATTTTAACCTGGAAAAATGTCCATGTATAGATTTTCAAATAGGAAAAAAAATTTCAGAGTAATAAAGAATTGGTACAAATTTATTTTTAAAAATGAAATTCAAAACATGATATACATGTAGGCACCCATAGCTAAACATTTATATATTATGAATGAATATAGCATTAGTTAATGGGGAGAGATTATAAGGAAACTTAATTTTTATCATACATTTCTTTATTTTTTATATGTATATAAATATATATTACCTTTGCAATTAAAATAAGGGATTACAATATCTAAAAAAACAAACATTTTTCTACTAAACCACATGGTAACTGGCATTATAGATATGTAAATAAATATTAAAATAATTACGACTTAAAACTTTCCCAAAACAAATAATTACTATTAAACTTCAATATTTTCATAAAGACAAGTGCCAAATGAAGTTATAGTAAGTTAAGATTAATTTTAAAATATTATTTACCTACCTTGTTTGATTGGAGAATTTTAATGTTTTTCATTTATCATTGTAAAACCAAGGACAATTTTATAACCTTTTTGTACATAGCTGTTGCATGTAGGGCAATCTGTCTTTATGTAGGAGTAAATTACTCTTTAAAAGGAAAAGAATCTTAGATAATTTTCCCTTTAAGTCAAGTGTCTTGTTGTTTAAATAAACTTCTTATTTAAAATGAAAAATAGGGCTGGGGATTTAGCTCAGCGGTTCTGCTGCCTGCTTTGCAAGGACCTGAGTTCAAACTGGTATCAAAAAATAAATAAATAAATAAATAAAATGAAAATATAAAATAAAATTTTATTTACCATGTCCTTTTGCAACTACTCCTTTGCATCACTTTGAAGTAACCTATTTAAAGTTCCAGATATGTAACTAGCCATCTCAATTCACATGAAGAAAACAAATATTTCAACTCAGCAAATTCCAAGTCTAGCATTAATAAAATATAAATAAGAGAGTAAAGTCTAATCATCCAACTTCCTTGTCCGAGACACACACAAACACACACACACACACAAAGATCAAAAGAAAGAAATGCTAACCTGATTTGTCCTGTGTGTCATCAAAGTCAACACTGAAGGAATGGCCACTGTTCCTGATGATTTTAGCTGAGCTGGGGTCATACTTGATACTAAGAGGTCCGAGGGAAGAGTCGTATTTCACTTCTTTGGTTTTAATCTCAATGGGAGATTGTTGATCACCATCGGCAACAGGGAAAAATTTATTCCAGTGAATGGGACCTTGAAAGCATAAGACCAAGAAAAAAGGACCAAGTTATTTCACTCAAGAAAAACTTACTAAGTGCACTGTACTGCACTGTGTCTAAGACTGAAAAAAAAAAACAATGATTAATAAAATAAAATCCTCATTCTCAGGACCTTCCCATTTATTTTTTTTTTGAAAAAGCCTACATGTTGTTTTGTGTTGTTTTTTTCTTTATGGGTATAGCAACCACCTGTTTTGTCTTAAATCATGGTCAGAATTAAATAACCCACAAAAACAAAAGAGAACATAAATTGTTATAAAGTACTTTCTAGAGGTACCCACTTAGCAAAAAAAAAACAACAGTACAGTTCATCACTGAAAACAAAGGGATTCAGTCTCAGACCAAGAATGTGCCCTGGTTGCTTTAGAGGTCAAGTTGACAGTGTTGGGAGAGTCAAAGGAGCTGAGAAAGCTAAGTATCAGAGAAAGGGTGTCAGTCCTAAGATACTGTCCTCTGTGTTTCTTTCTTCTTTATTCTACTATTCACTGCAATTTTCTGGTGTCACTCGGACCTCAACTTCACTACCTGTAATGTGCAATCAACATGCCAAGGTCATATATACATCTTTCACATAAGATAATCCAAATAAAATGGCTGTGCCATGTCAAGATAGGTAATATTGTCAGTTATTTACAGTGGAATTGGTGCCAACGTATTTCTCTTTCTACATTTCATCAACTATGGAAATGATCCCGGGAAGTATAGCCTTCTCTCTTTCTACATTTCAGAAGGTCCTTCAGGGATTTTTATTAGTGCCACATTTGGATTCCAATACAAGGGACGACTGTCATCTTGATCCTCTCTTCAAGATAAAATTGCATCAAGTTCACCAACCAGAGTCTCTTAGGCAAAATGAAATAAGACGATAAGCTGACAATTCCTTGGACTACCCTCTTTGTTTCTCTGGGAGTTTCTATTCATATTCTGCCTCTCAAAATCAACAGCCAGCAAGGTTGCACCTGCATGTAAACTGCAGGTCTTGCTACAGATGTGAGACTCTTAAATTCTCCTCTCTGTTACGTCCACAATTTACATGACCATCGCCAGGTGAGTAGTGCAGAAGGTGGCTGACTAAGCTTTTCCCTACTTCGATTACCACTTTTTCTAACTTAAGTACTAATTAAAACAGCGGAAAACAACTGTTAAACATGTTACTAACAAAAACAAATATATCACAATTATCAACAGCTTCAATCCCTAAATCTAAAGATGCTTTTTAACTCTTTGCTCTTGAAAATTAGAAAGCATACACTGTTTCACATATGCTTGAGCTACAAAAAGTCGTAGCATGAATATATAACTGTGTGTTCAACTTTAACAGTTGTCCATTTGTTAACTTGACATTTTGGATCAAAGCAACTTGAGTATTCAGAAGTCCTTAGGAAATATTGCAGAAAAGGCACTACATTTCCCTATTTCTGTTTTCATTTACTTTTTTTAAGTATTCTCTTTTTATAATCTCAAACTTTCTATTTCATTGCCACCAAGTATGAGTTAACCTAATCAGAACCAGATTTTAAATATGCAAAGCACACATCATAACATGTTGCTGCCTTTTTTACAGTCAGCAAAGAGCTTTCCTAATGCCTTTCCATTGCTATATAATTTATAAATATAATTGTTTTTGAAGTGGCAAACCAAATTAAAACAAAACTAGTTCATTTCAAATGCCCAATATTATCTAACCTAAAATAACCAGGTTTAAACTTATTTAATATTCATAGTTCTTAAGCCCATAGTGGTATATGTGCACGCGTGCACGTGTGTGTGTGTGTGTGTGTGTGTGATGTCACACTGCCTAATCCAAACCAATACAAAGATCAAAGGTTAGTGGAAGACATCTCAAGCTGTCTGTGAAGGTGGTAGCCTTCGAAGGCTTTGCCTCATGAAATTCCTTTCGATCAGAGCCGAAAAACCCAGTCTAAACATTGGTTTTGCTAATGTCTAAAGAGATAAAAAGCAACAAAACGACTCATCAGGATACAACATATTTTCAATAGGATTTTGCTAACATTAATCTACTTAAAGGTGTGGTCATGAGAAAACTACTGAATCTAACAGAAAGGAATGACCCTCTAAGTCCTAGTTGAAATGCAAAATCACTTCTTGTTAATGTCTTTTCTGAGATAAACTTTTTAAATTTCTGAAGATGATTTTCATCGTGGCCAATTCTAACAAACAATACCTACTGATTGTAATACCCTTTTTGCTAACCACAGTGAAGACACTATTGACTCCTAATACTTAAATAACAATAATAAAAATATTCCAAGCCAGATTTGGTAGTGCAGATATTTGGTAGTGTAATCACAGTGCTGGGGAGGCTGAGGCAGGATGACCACAAGTTCAAGGCCAGCATAGGCATGCTGATAAGACCCTGTCTCAAAAAAAACAAAACAAAACAAAAAATGCTGCGTAAGTAGATCAACGGTAAAGCACCCCTGAGTTTAATCCACAGTACAATATAATCAAATAAACAAATGAAATGATTCCTGCAGAGAAGGGAATGAAAGTTGTTAAGTCCATTTTTCCAAAGCATGAATTAGAAATTAACAAAATGCAAGATTAAAACCACAGCTTCTGTCGAAAATTCTTCTAAATGATCTTTCATTATTAAAGTTTTAAATTTCATCTGCTTTCACTTTTAAATTAACAAGTTTAAATTCATAATTTTAAACTTTGATTAGAAAGGGAACTTTTCTCCCAGATCTCAGGAGGCTGAGGCAGGAAGATCTCAAATTCTAGGTCAGGCTGGCATGACGTAAAACCAACAAAAAGGAAATTGTTTCTTTGTAAAAACAAACTGTTTATACAATTTTAATATATAATACTGTTCAATAATAAGCATTCTAGTTGAAGGTTTATAACTATTACTTTTCACAGCCCTCGTTTTGACAGTCATGCAACATAACATTTTCTTGGCGTCAGTTTGGAATTATTTTGAACAACATCATTTGAAATAATCAGTTCAACTGAACATATAAACAAGAACAAATATTTTACTTTAGGATATATAAATCATATTGCCAATCATATTGTCACTCCAATCGATAAATATATTTTAATCATTGTATTGTAATTTCAATAATCCTTTGTTAGCCCTCAGTCTCTGCAAGGATGAATGTAAGAGAAGAGAAAAGTGAAGCCCAACATATAACTTCATTTCCCAGAAAGAACCGAAAGCCTCGTTACAACAGCCATTGAGAAATTTTCGGCACTATTTTGGTTGCCAAGCAGCCAACTTAATGTTCAGTGTTCATGTGCAACTCATTAAAATTTCGCAAAGACCTTTTCGATGATTTCCATGATTTGTTTCTCCGAAGTGAACAGTGTGACCTCACAGGGCTGAAAGCGAATCTGTCCTCATTTGTCATCTGCCTTCTCGTCCCCAAACTGTCTTCTGAAGTGGCTGCTAGCACGGAAAGCTCTTGGCTTTTCCAGAGAAGGTGATGAGTGCCCAGGAAGATCTGGGGCCCGGGACTCCTGACCCGGCTAATACACATGGAAACCCAGCCCCACTACGACCCACGCCCCGTCAAAGACGCTTTCCGGATCCACCGGACCGAGCCCCCACCCCCACCCCCCTTCCTGCGCGCGGCTCCGAAAGGAACCAAAAAGTTTCCTGCAAGTTGGAGCCGCGCGTGGCCAGTCCCCGCCCCACCCGGTCCCCCACAGAGCCGCTCCAGAGCGGGGAAGGGCGCTCACCGTTGTGTTCGCCGTATCCCCAGCTGAGCCGCGACATGGTCCTTCGGGGTGGCACGCCGTGCACGGGGTGGCCGGCAAAGAGGCGGGAGGAAGCGGGGCGGGCTGGAGCCAGT